CTCGATGAAGAGGCCGAGGTCCGGGGGCTCATCAACGGTGAGTAATTCGCGAATGGCCCCGTAGAACAGCCATGTCTGAAGAAAATCGGCGGTTTCTTCGCGCGGCTTTTGCGAAAAGTCACGGTTGTAGAGAGGGGTAAGTAGGAAGCCGCGGCGATTCTGGTAGCCGTCGAATTCGAGGCCATCATAGGGCTGTGAGGAGAGCAGCGGCACGCGGGGATACGGCTCGGACTTGTACTTGAAGTTGGGTAGATGATCCATGGTGATGGCTATAGATGTTTTCCAGCCCAGTCAATATTCGATAGAGGGAGTTTGCTGTTGCTCTTCAAAAACTGGCCATCGGTCTATGACTGCAAGTCTGGTTGCAGTCCGATGCTTGTACCACAGGTTCTAAGGTCTGACTGTCGCGATACCATCTTTATCATCTTCGTCGTAGCCCCTCAATTTTCAGCTTTCATGCAAGTTTGACTTGTAGCGCCGTCAACATTGGTGATGGTGTTACGGGGGCTCGGGTCTGGCCCAATAATCCGTGTCGCGTGCAGGGCATGGGGCGCCACATCGTATCAGGGGCCTGCAGACGGTAGCATCGTTTCGTTCCACGATGATGTATGTTTCGTCTGACTGCCGTAGGGCTGTCTGGAACAAGCAAATGCTGCTTGTCCGTCGGTCAAGACGACCGCCATCTCAATGAGCCTGGCGAGCTCAAACTGCAGAGCTGGGAGCGCGTCGGGGTGTCGTCGCTGTAATGTGGGAACATCCTTTGCGGCCTTTACGCCCTCCCGGCACTGCCGCAAATGTCCATCCACCGCTCGACCTCGTTCTGCAGCACAGCCATCCCATCATCCATCAGCTGCGTCAAGGGTTTGTGCGCGTTCGCCTTCAAGTGAGCGCTCCATACTTCTAGCAGCAATTTGTTAGCGTTCAACTTGATGGCGCCGTGTTGAATGCACTTGCGCATCAGATCGGGCGAGAAGTCATTCGTGCCATGGAGCGCCATGATGACGCGCCCAGTAATCTGCCTGTTGATGGTCGCCAATCGGTCCAAGTCCAGCTGGGGACCTCGCGCGTCATAATCGCCGTGGATATTACCCACGCTCGGCGCCAGCAGGTCAACGCCCGCAGCGATAAAGTCCTCGACCTGTGTGGGGGACGTGAAAAGCGCTGTGTCGGCAGAGTCAGAGGCACGGATCGACAACGACGTGAAGGCTTCGCCGACTGACCTTCTAGATCCCCCGTGTGCGCGATGCCATCCTCGCCACCGTTGATCCGCCCGCTCTCGGCCTCGACGGCGATGCCGCGCGCGTGGCAGATGTGCGTGAGATTTTTCGTCTTTTCTAGATTCTCGACGTGGTCGTGATGGCTCATGTCGACCATGATGGAGTCAAAGGGGAGCCTTTCCGCGACATGGCGGATCTGCTCTTCGTCCTGGGCGTGATCAAGGTGCAGAGACAGCGGAACAGTCGCCGACTTGACGGCTGCCGCTGCCGCCCAGGCCAGCGTCGGGAGCTGAGTGACGGTCGACGGGAACAAGAGCAAGATCAAGGGTGATCGCTTGGCCTCGGCGGCTCGAACGAGGGCCGTAAGATGCTCAATGTTGTAGCTGGGTCTGGTCAGCCGCGTGTGGCGGGATGAGGGACAAGCACCGACCATATGGCAGCCAGCACACCATAATGTCCATCAGACGCAGCTCGTACAATCTGCAGGGTTCGATTACTGGATGCGAGAGATGGATCCATGACTGTTTTCGGATGAAATGCATCAGCGAGAGTTGCAATGGTAGAGGGACCAAGGTGGTGAATAACAAAAATATGGCAGTCGGTTTTGGGGCTACGCCTTCCTCAGTGTCGAGTTCGGTCGACACAGCATGTGACCGCCTCCGCCAGCTGCGGAACTTCTTCTCCTACAAATGGAAACACAAGCGCTGAGATTGTCCAATGCTAGGTACCTAGGTATTCTCTGATGAATGGGTTTGATTGCCTGGGCAGCATTGGAGGCAAAACAGCAAAAGTGATTCAGGGGAGGCTCGAACTCCCGACCTTCAGTGTGTTAGACTGACGTGATAAACCAACTACACCACCGAACCGATGTTGGGAAGCAGCAATACTTCCAGTACTATTTCGACTCAGAGTATGCCACAATCTGGTTTACTGTCTATGTGGTCCAGACACGAGTATGAGCAACAATAAATGGTACGCCTGGTTCACTTGGTTTCTGTGCGGACCTTTCTTCCAATAGCACGATGTGGGCGCTCACTTCCCGCTGAGAATGGCCTTTGCCTGCTAAACAAACGAGCACCCAGTTGGTTCCCACTTCAACACCAAACATCAGAAAACGATTCGTCCCCAAAACAACTACCAATGGCCAGCCACTCTAGAACACCCTCCACGCTTTATAACACTTCACCATACACATCTCATCGCTTGTCGCCACCCTCGTGTAACGCTCAGTAGAAACGAAGTCGCATGCGGGGTCGGTCGGCCTCCCGCAGAGCCCGAACCTATCAATGTCCGCGAGGCGGCACAGAGCTCTGGTGAGCAGAGCTGCATATGCATGGTGCTGATGGGATATGGCACAGGCAGGCAATGAAAGCTTTCGAGGTCGATATGACCTTGAAAACAAACGGCTCCCCCGCGTTCCATCTCCGAGACAGCAAGTGTGTTCTCGACGCCAACTACCGTACCTACAGAGCTCAGCCTACAAACAGATAGAGCCATGTTCCCCCCTGGCGTGGCCTTTGCCCTGGTACAGCGACCTCTTGCAACTTGCAATACTAATGAAAAGCCCAACTGACGTTCTCTCTGCAACAGCTCACACTCCTGCTCCTTGGCGCAGCCATGTACGTCTTCCCACAAAGGACTCTCCCCTGATGAAGATATATCCCTGACGAGCAAGGGCAGCACCCTCCACATCACCAGCGCAAACCTCTCCCTTCCCATCGCCCCCAACCTGACCCTAGCGACCATCCTCCTCCCCCTCCTCGGGGCCCTCAACACCGCCTTTCAGCCGCGTCTCCTCCAGGCCGCCCGCACAACTCGCTCCCCAGTCGAGCGCATCCTGCCCCAGACCCTGCAGTCGCTCCAAGCCATCCTGACAACCGCCCTCGCAACGCTCCTCCTGCAGTCCGCCACCGCGTCAGCCCCCCTCCTCGACTGCGCCCTCGCCTCAACCTGGCAGCGCCTCTTCCAAGCCAAAGACGCCCCGCGCCTCCGCGCCATCCAAGACGCCCTCGACTGCTGCGGCTACCGCTCGACCCGCGACCGCCCCTGGCCGTTCCCAACCCGCGACGTCGAACCCGGCCGCTGCGCCGTCCGCTTCGACCGCCAGACCGCCTGCGCCGAACCCTGGCGCAACGCCCTCGGACGCAACGCCGCGCTCGGCCTCGCCGTCGTGCTCGCCGTCGCGGCCATGCAGCTCGCCTCGCTGGCTGTGGCGCGGGGGGCCGAGTCCTGGCGGGATGCGTGGTGGGCGCGCCGCGGCGGGTGGTGGTGGCGGGGGAGACGGCGGGGGCTTTCGTCTCCTGGCCGTGAGGGTGTGGTGCGGCCATTGCTCGGGGCGCCCGAGGCGGGGGACGAGGGGGCTGATTCGGATGTGCCTGTGAGCTATGGGGATTTGTCGCCGACGGCGAGGCCGCGGAGGGGGATCGATGATGGGGTCGTGGAGAATGGGTCGCGGGTGCAGCCGTCTTTGCTGGAGACGAATGCGTGGGGAGGTGAGTGAGGAGGGTCTCGTGGAGGGCAGGCAGGGTGATGATGCTCAGGGTTCGTGCGATGGCAGGGTCTCTTGGGAAGCCATTACCGCGGGGGAGTCGGAGGTCAGGAGTACGTGGATTGGGTCACACACGTCACTAGCACATGTGGATGATGTACGGCAACCAAAGGGTCATTCGTTTGAGACACGAGAGCCAGTACGAGCCGTGCAGTGGTATCAGCCATTTCATCAATGGGAATTAGAGACGCAATTCGACCAACATCCTTCCAGCTCGGACATATCTGTTCATGTATTGGGACTACATCTCTACCGGCATGCTTTGAGGTGAAGCTTCTGCTTTGGTCATTCTTCAGTACCTCATGCTGCACATCTCTCTTGACGAGAGAAGAGGTTCGTCTCGAGATTTTCAGGGCCGCTGCCGTTAGGTTACTGGCTTCTAGCCAGGAACATACTATTATCAAGAAGCTGGGCTAATCATCAACAGTAGAGTTTATGAATATAGAATAGATAGACAACCTGAGAGCTTTCCTAATCCTCCTAGTGTAGTCTTGTTGTCAGGCGAAGGGATGAACAGAGTGAAGGTATTCCGCAAATAATCTCCGCAGGCAATTGCCAGGTAGGGGTAGAAGTACATCTGAATTCTGCCCCTTCGCAGCCCTTTTATACACTCTCTTATAGTCCCAAGCCCCTAAACTAATCCTTGTCCCGTGGCTCCGCAGGTGCCTCCTGACAAGCATGATATCAGCTCCATGCACTTGAGTTGGGGTTTTGTCGTGGAGCCGAAGCGTTAAGACGATAATGGGTAACATCACAAACCATAGCCACTTGACTACAACTGCACAGAGTATTGCCTGGTCACATAGGTTTCAAGCAAGCGATGTAGCTATGCGTTCTGTCCAGTATTCCTGATCACGGAACTTGAGACTGCGACTCAGCCAATCAAAATATTCTCCATCTATTGCGCACCGCTAGAATGCGTCGGAATTTAAACCACCTCGGGATCGGGTGCCCACCTCAGTCGTTGAGCAGGCGAAACCTAGTACTTGGATCTACTTGCAGAATTGTGAAGGACTAGAGTATCCCGACTCTAGGTCGTACCCTATGGGAATGGAAGCCCCTAGTCTGAAGTTGCGGGCCTCGTCGAATACACAGCGAAAGCATATCTTACGTGACGGCTTTTACAAAAACAGAACGCCTCCGTGTTCTAAAGCTTTCTGGCCGTATTGTCATTCCTCCAATCCCCTTTCCACTTGATCATCTAATCACGACATCTTGCCATCAAGCACGGCGATATGGTTGCGAACTCTAAAGCATCTGCTGTCATGAGCCACAAACTCGATGCTGAGCACACGGAAAATGCTCTCGTGATCGAGCAGGTGGCCGAAGGCGAGACAACCCTATGGACTTCCATAAAGGAGAACCCTCGTGCCATTATGCTTGCATTTTTGGCCAATTGCGGTTCGGTTCTCTTTGGCTACGACATTCTTATACAAGGCGCCATCACGGCGCTTCCCATGTTTTCGTACGTTCAAGATCATCCACCTGTTACGGAATTCTGAACTAACAGATCTCTGCCAGCATTGCCTTTGGGTCCCCTTTCGGAGACGATATAATCCTACCAGCGCTCTGGCAGGGTGTCTGGCAGGGCTTTAATGCCATTGGAATCATGATTGGCGCTGCAAGCAACGGCGTTGTCATGGGTAGATTTGGCCGCAAAACCATGTTTGCTCTGTCGGTGAATTCTGGCCATCAGGCAGGCAATTCAAGAGGAATTCGAGCTGACGAAACAACCTGCAGGCACTGCACTGTTTGACGTATCATCCAATGTTGGAGGCTTGGACTCTAGACGTGGCGTGCTGCTGGCTGGAAAGCTAGTCATAGGCCTCGGCATGGGCATCTTCATGTCCACCTGCCAGACGTACGTCTCCGAGATCTCGCCTCCAAGACTCCGGACAGTCCTTCTTGGTTTTACGCTTTCTTCATTGTGAGTAGCAAATCTGTGCCCCACCATGCATGCGCATTGAAGAGCGGGGTCTTATTCATTCGTATTCCAGACTGTCGGGCACATGATGGCCATCTCCGTGGTCTTCTGTCAGAGCGTTGTTTAGAGCAGAGTGAGGAGGTCTTCCGCACGTGGTCCGCAGCAGATAGAAGATAGGTTGGGGGTCGTAATACATCTGAATTCTGGCCCTCCGCAGTCTGGAGGGCCCTCCGCAGCCTATATATATACGTTTCTCGTAGCCCTTAGCCTCTGACCGACCCCCTGCTGACGACTCCGCAGGGAACCCGCAGGGTCCCCTGACATCTTTTCTCGCGTAGCAGTCATGGATTATTCAGCGTTGAAGATTCTATTTGCCTCGCAATGGGCGTTTTCCAGCAGCCCTCGTCCCCGAGAGTCCCGTCTACCCAGCAAACTGCGGCAAGATCGAGCAGGCACGCAAGGCGATCAAGAAGCTCACTCCACACGCATTTGCTGATGAGCGCATCTCTGTGATTCTGGCCACTTCCGACCAGAGACGACACCGCATGGAGAGGCTGCGACGTTCGCCGACTGCTCTAAAGGCACCGACCTCAGGCGTACGCGCATCGTTGCGGTCCTGAATACGTTGCAGCAGCTGACTGGCGTTTCCCTCATCGCCAACTCGACGTACTTTTTTATCATGGCGGGCATGTCCCCGACCATGTCGCTCACCATCAACCAAGCCGGCGTCGGCGCCAGTGTGGCCTGCACGTTGATCTCGTGGTTCATCATCGCCAAGATCGGCCGGCGAACTGCCATCCTCGTGAGCTTCGTCTGTGCCGGGGCGCTCTTCGTTGGCATGGACACTGCCGGCTCCTAACCTCGTGATGCCCAGGCGCTCAGGTAAGAAGAAAACTTGCTTACTACATGGTGGGAAGGCCTGGCTGACATGATCTATCAGGTTCATCGGCGTCGCGCTCGTCATGGCCGCATGCTGCAGCAATCTCGGCACAGGCACAGCCTATCCCATCGTGGCAGCCGAGATACCAGCGACCAGGCTGCGCGCCAAGACGCTCGGCTCGGGCTTCGCGGTCAACGCATTCATGATGTGGGCGTTCAAATTTGTCGTGCCGTACATGTTCAACGCAGACCAGGGTAACTTGGGTGGCACGATCGGGCCAGTATTCGCCGGTTTCTGCGTCGTTGGCTTTGTCGACTCGTTCTTCGAGATCCCCGAGACCAAGGACATCACGTATAGCCGCATCAACGCACTGTTCCAGACCCGGACGCCCGCGCGTGGATTCAGGGCCATGGCCGTGTCATATGAGGCGGAGAACATGGCTGGGACGGGCGACGCGTAAAGGAGGGCTAAGCATTTTGGGCCTCGGGGGAATCCTCGTCAGCAAACCAGGTCTCCATTCTGTTTCCAAAGCCATCTACGATGACGGTGTCGTTGTCAAGAGCTACACGGCCTGGAGCCTGATGGATCGTCTCGGTGAGTTTGACCCGACTTTAGATGCCATGAGGGTAGATTGTGTCATGTAAATTATGCTCATTACGAAACTCGACAGAGTGGTCCGCGGGTTATGCGCACCGGTTTCGGCACCACGCACGTCGATTTCGACACCCTTGTCCGCACGCCGAAGCAGTCTGCTTCTACCTCCGTGAGACAATGGAACGGCGAAGGGGGCGGGTACCGAATGGGCTTTAGTCGTCGTAATCGAAAAGACTGTACCTATCCGTGTTCATCGCATGTACTTGTGCATTGGTTTCTCGTTTTTCCCGGTCTTTTCTCCCTGTCATCTTCTCTGATGGCCCGTCCTCGCCGCCTAGGCTTTTTGCCGAGCAGCAATCCTTCAGGTCGCATCTAGCTGACATGGTAGCGCATGATTAATCTTGGTGAGATGATTTGCCAGCGCAGTCTGTACACGGACATGAGTTTTCGCTCCAGCCTCAGCAAAATCTACAAGTACGCAGTCTTGTGCTTGTGAGTCGTTGACGGTGGAAGCTTGGCGGTAATAATTAGGCACGATCCGGGCACCTCCAACCCGGCCCGGAATGATCCAAGCACCCGAACAGACCCTGATATGATCATTTCTCATGGCCAGGCTTGTGAACATCATCGTCTTCATTGTAGTCAGCCACTCGGATTCCCAACAAAGCATCCTCGCCGTGGCCGCAGTCTTGCTCAGTCCAGTCTTTGATCCTGCTTTCTGTCACGCCGCGATCCCCAACTGCATACACCATCAGTGCTTCTACAAGTGGACAGTATCAATGCCACCCTTGCCTTCAGGGTATTCACTGGCCACGCCACGAGACAGAGATCAACGTCGCAGATTTGCACAGCTCGCCCTGCGCTCCATCTCGGCATAATACTGTTTGTCATGAGCGAGGCGGGTTGCCCGTACCTGTTGTGATGAATCCAGTAGCTCGGCAGTGGCCGGATTATCACGACTTGTAATGTGGCGAGTATCCATCACGTATGCACCCCAAAGTAACCAAAGAATGTCAATTATAAAGGGTATTCAGTTTGATGTAACCGCAGCCGGAAGCCGCCCGTCGACTCGCCTATATTCAAGACGTCTAAAAATGCAGAGCGTCTAAAAGTTGACGGCATGCCCGCCCATCCTGCCTGACCCGAGGATCCCACTTCTGCCTCTGCTGCCGGTCAATCTCCCCCATCCCTCCATGTCCTCCTTCTCCATCATGGCGCGCCTCCGCGCGCGGCCGGCAAAGGGACCCCTGCCCTTGCGGTACGCCCAGCCAATGAGGCCGCCAATGGTCAGCACGCCGGCGACGAGGCCGAGAGAGATGGGCAGCGCGGGCATGAGGGCGCCGCCGCTGGAGGAGCCGGCGTTGGCCTCCTCGGCCGTGGGCAGCGGGGCCAGCGACGAGGTGGACGCGGGCGGCGGAATGGCGAGCGGGAGGGTGGCCGTCGGTGCGGCGACGAAGGTCGTGGGCTGTGGGGGCGCGACGATGAGCTCCTCTTCCGAGGAGGTTGATGCCGAGGGGTCTGCGCGGATGGAGGAGAGCAGGGTCGTTGGCGGGCGGGTGATGGCTGAAGGGAGGATTGAGGGGATGCCAGTTTCTGATGTCGTCAGGAACGTGGGGAGAGGGAGCTCTGAGGAGGCTGCGAGGTCGGGGATAGGAGTTTCGTCGGCGGCATCGTCGTCTGCTGGCCTTGATGGTGTTGATGAGGGACTGTCTGAGCTGGTGGGTAGAATTGTTGGTCGCTCTTCGAGAGCGGCGGATGTGGGCAGGGGTAATAGCGTCGAGAGGGGCGATGCTGTCTCGTCGGCACCGGGAAAAGGGAAGAAGGTGGGCGTGGGCACGCCAATGCCCGAGAGGAGGTCGTTGAAGAAGTCGGCCATGATGAAGGTGCGATGTGTGTAAACGATTTTGGGTATAATGCTGCCGTGCCGTAACGGTGATGATGATGTGCCGACCCTGTCGTCAATATTTGAGATGGTGATGTTGCAATACTGATTCAATGAGATGCCGTCTGATGTGTGAGATGGGGTCTGATGTGTGAGATGCCGATGTGTGAGATGCCGATGTGTGAGATGCCGATGTGTGAGATGCCGATGTGTGAGATGCCGTCTGATGTGTGAGGTCTCGTCTGACGTGTGAGATCACGTCGCGTGATGGAGTGAGTGAGCGAAAGTGAGGGACGTGAATCCGAGTTGAGGGTCCCAAAAACGAGGGATCCAAATCCAATACCACGTTCGCCGCCAGGGGGAAAAGATGATAATGAAGGGGGGGGAGAGAAGTGGAGGGTGCGAAAGAAGGAAGACAAGGGCTTCTCAATATCAATGGGAAAAAAAGGAGAGGCAGGTTCACAAGCCACCCGAAAGGAAAGTCCAGCTCTCAATCGGTCGAATCAGGAAGTCGTCGAGAATTCCTCGCAAACAATAGAGTCTCCTTCCAAACCTAGGACAGGAATGTGGGAAGGAGAGGGGGGGAGCGCCTGGCTATCTTTAAACGGCGAGGCACGAGGAAAGAGCGATGCGCCGTTTGGGACGCTTGGAAAGGACGCTTGGGAAGGCGTGGGACGTCGGCACCCGGCGCCAGTGACGCACGATCTGCGGGGTGATCTGCAGGGGTCCGCGTCGCGCTTGCGCTGCCCGAGGCTCTGCGCGTGCGTCTGGCTATGCAGTGGCAGGAGTGGTCTGCAGTGCACTGGAGCCCTGAGGCGAAGACCGGCCCCTTGAACTTGAACCCCTGATCCAGGTCTCCAGCACAGCGGCAGTCGCCCTGGGCCTATCCACTCCGCATCCGTCCTTGACTCGACACCAGGCCTTGAACACTGATGGGGCCTCCCTCCGTTTCAGATCCAGAGGCGGCGCCAATGCTTCTGCTACGGCTTCAGCCAATATCGTCTGCCATCTGAATCTCCTGCCTCATGCCCGTTGGCCTGCCTTACCTCACCTTAGGTAGGTACTCTTGGTACTGTACCTGCCCTGAATGCCCCAAGATCGCCACCGAGTCTCCGCCTGAATCCTTCCCAAACCAACAGACGGCCCCCTTGGCGCGTCCTTTTTCGTCAAAAAGCCCAGTGACCGACATTTCGGAAACCCACCTGCCATGCTCGATTGAATCCCCCCCCAGGGTTCCTGTTTGCAACCTCGAAATGTGCACACGCCAGAATGTTTCCACATCGCCCGCCGTTTCTTCTGTTTGCCAAACCCAAACCCCAAACCCAAAAAAAGAAGGCCAAGCCCACCACCCTCAGGAACGCACGAGCCCCACCAACCACAACAGTCTGTTTCTCCCTTCTGCGCCTCAGACCCTGGACCCTCTTCCTTCACCTCAGCTGGGCCCCCGAATTGTTTCCCACCAGCCTCTGGAATGCCCGTTCGGCACTAGCGAAACTCCCCGTGCCGGACCCAAGCTACATAGTACCAGACCAGAGGTAAGGTAGGTACCTAGGTAAGTAGACGCGAGACCAAGATGCCAGCAGAATACCGCCCGCTGGCATGTCCCATAAACTAGCACAATGCACGAATGGGACAAACTCCCTTCCGCACCCGAACCGAACCGTAACCAGCCAGCAGCAGGGGCGGGCGCAGTCAGGTCCAACGCACAGATCAACAACAACCGCGCACAGAGGCTCCCCCTTTTCCACAGAGCCGAGCATCACCCCTCTACCCTCCCCAGCAAGGCCGGACAGCCAGCGAGCGCGCGTGTCATCACGAGGAACCGCCCAGCAACAAGGGGAGAAGCCTGGTACCCATAGTCGAGCCAGTGACGCGAGAGCAAAGCTCAGAAGCAGCATGGCAGCCCACCGTCTTTCATCAGAGCCGAGAGATCATCGTGTACACGTGCCTGTGCGAGTGACACCGACTGCAACCTGATGAAGTCATACAACATCACGATCACCGCTCATGAAACGTGCCCAAACAAACGAGCCGGCTTTTCTGAGAAAAATCGATTGTCTATCCATTTTCCAAGGAGGAAGGCTTGTTACGTTTTCCCCGTCCCTCCCCCTCTCGCCACCGTAGCTACCTGGTTCAGGCAGGACCCGCGCTCGTGATTTGTGTTGTGCCGAATTTTGCTATCGGACTTGCTGTTTCTGCTGCTGAAGCAAAACGAAGGAAAAAAGACAAAAAAAGAGTGGAAAGTGACACAGGAAAGAAAAAAAGCGAATGAGGAGTAAATGTGTTACTATTACAAGCAAAGTTACCTGTTTCCGTGGCCGAAACTTGCAGTTTCACTTTCATACAAGCCACTGAAAAATGTACACACGAACGAAGCGGTGGCACCACGTCACCTTCTCACCCGCTCACCCTCTCACCACCCAATGGCAATCATTCTTACGCCTTGTCCACCGGCTGCGGCTGCGCTGGTCCGGTCCCCTTCTCGTCGCTGTCCCGGCGGCCCTTTTCCTCCTGCAGTGGCGTCGAGTCGTTCAGGCCCGAGGACGTCGATGGCTGGCGCTCAATCGGCGACAGGCCTCCAATGCTGGCAGCGATAATGCCAGGCATACCAACCGCCGAACCCATGGCGGACCGCATCGGCGACATGGACGACCGTTCGTCTTCCGAGTTGGAGCCACCCGTCCTGCTGCGGCTGCGCGTGCGTCGGACCGCCTCCACAGGGTGTACGATGGCATCGCCGACAAGGTAGATGCGGCCACCGCGGATTCGCTTGAGGAAGAGCAGATCGTCGCGGATGCCCTGGAACGCTGTGCCGACGCCGTTTTGTGTCTCCTCGTCCGACTTGTTCTTCTTGCGCTTGAGGAACTTGGGCATCGGGATCCTGGGCAGGTGCCTGTCCACCCAGTGGGCGCACGTGCGGACGATCGAGTCGGGGAACAGACGGATCAAAACACCAATCGGGATCGAGAGGAAGCCGAGCACAAGCGAGATGCCCCATTGAGGTCCGGTCAGCGGTACCACGACAAAGGCGTCGCTGCCAACGAAAACGATGAGAACCTGGCCGCCCACCATGATGGCAAACATGACCAAGAAGAGGCGGTTGCGCGACAGACCCTCAAAGATGTTGAGCTCGTTGTCGATACGTCTGCTATTGATGAGCTTGAAGATCTGCATGAACACGAATGTGTTGAACACAAGCGCGTCCATCTCATCCTTGGGGTATTTTAAGAAGCTGGGCCCGCCAAAGTGCAGCACAAAGGATACGATCAACTGGTAAATGGACTGGCCGATAATCATCTTCCACATGGTCAACGTAATGAGCGGTGCAGTCTTGGCTTCCGGCTTCCGACGCAGTTGCGATTCCGTCGGCGGGTCGGTGGCGAGAGCCAGCGCGGCAAAAGTGTCCATGATGAGGTTGACCCAGAGAAGCTGGATGGCCTTGAGCACAGCCTCCTCTTCGGCACTGGCGACAGCCGAGACAAAGGTGAGAATGACAGCAGTGATGTTGACCGTGATCTGGAACTGGAGGAACTTCTTGACGGCGTCGTTGATGGCTCGGCCCCAAGCGAGGGCACCGACAATGGAAGAAAAGTTGTCGTCCATCAGAATAATGTCAGACGCCTCCTTGGCAACTTCGGTTCCCGTGATGCCCATAGAGAAACCAACGTCGGCAGCCTTGAGCGCGGGCGCGTCGTTGGTACCGTCACCAGTGACAGCGACGACGTCTCCGAGAGACTTGAGTGTCTTGACCAAAATCCTCTTATCCTCGGGGCTGGAGCGCGCCAAAACCTGCAGGTCCCTAACCACGGCGCGTCGATCTTGGTCGCTGAGGCGTCGGAACTCCAGGCCCTCCATGACACGACCGCCCTCGGTAAGAATACCACAGTCGCGGGCGATAGCTTTGGCAGTCTCAATGTTGTCACCCGTCACCATCTTCACGGACACGGAGGCACTGTGGCAGTGTGCCACAGCCTTGGGGACGTTGCCTCGCACAGGATCCTGAATACCAACAACACCGATCCAGTTCAGATGCTTGAACAGGTCGTTGAACTCGACATTGTCGGTACCCTCCTCCTTGCGAGAGTTCGGGGGAGGCCACGACTCAAAGTCGCGGTACGCCAGTGCCAGGGTACGAAGAGACTGCTTAGCATAGTCGGAGATGGTGCGCTTAATGTCCTCGCGTTGCTGGTCCTCCATGTTGGCGCGTGCGAGCGAGGAAGTAGGGTCTGCGATGACCTTGTTGGATTGTCCCAATACGATTTCCGGCGCACCCTTGATAAAAAGGCGATACTTGTTCTCGGGCAAACGAATGACGATACCCATGCACTTCCGCTTCGAGTTGAAGGGCAGTAGTTGCTGCGTAGGGAAGCTAGAGCGCTCCTCGGCAATGGGGCCGAGAGCGAAGCATTTACGGGCCCAGTCGAGGAGAGCTGTCTCCGTCTTCGTGCCGACAAAGACCTGCTTTCCCTTCTCCTCGGCCTCAAAGGCAGTCGTGTTCACAGCGACAGATTCCTTGAGCAACTGGCGGTATTCGTCTGATAGGCTGAAGACAGCTTGGCAATCGGAAGGCGCAGAGCCGGTGGGGTTCCGTTCGATGTGCGCGCATCATCCTCCACCTCCTTTGCAGGCGTCGTCGGTTCGGTGATAGCCTCCGCGTCTTGGTCGTCACGATCGTTGAAGCGCACGCTCCCAGAGCCAAGGGACCCAGCCACTACCGTCATGACGTTCTCGGTCAAGGTGCCCGTCTTGTCGGAGCAGATGACCGTCGCGTTACCCATAGTTTCGCAAGATTGCAAGTGGCGGACCAGGTTGTTCTCCTTTGTCATACGCTTTGTCGCGTACGCAAGTGAGAGGGTCACGGCAAGCGGCAAGCCCTCGGGAACCGCAACGACAACAATGGTGATGGAGGTGATGAGAATCTGGAGGAACGTCTGGCCCTTCTCGTCGGGACTGTCGTCGTTCCCGGGGAGACGGGCGAGGAACTGGATAGTGAGGACACCGAGGAGAATCAGACCAGCCGCACTACCAAGTTTGGCAATGTACCCTGTATCATATTAGACGTTGGCCTAGAATGCGAGAACCGGCGCACTTACCAGCAAGAATGTTCAGCTTCAGCTGCAGAGGAGTCTGTCCAGGATCGTCGCGCAGAGACATCATGGTCCTACCGTGACTCGAGTTCTGGCCGACAGCAGTAACAAGAAACGTGCCAACGCCATCTAGGATTCGTGCACCCGAAATGAGGAACGGGTCGAGTTTCTTGATGTTCGTGTTACCTTCGCGAATCCCTTGCATCACAGCAGCAGCGGGAACCTTCTTGATCAGGTCCGACTCGCCCGTGGCGGACGACTCGTCGCAACTGACATTATGACCATCGATGTAGACACCGTCAACCGGAATGACGTCTCCCGCTTCGAGCAGCATAACGTCGCCCACGAGGACACGGTGGATAGAAAGATTGGTCGGCTTTCCAGAGCGAATGACCTTGACGATGCGGTCTTCCTTCTTCTTGTTCAGTTTCCTGAACTGGCGCTCCTTTTGCCAATCGTTGGCAGCACCAACGATAACGACAATCAAAATGGCGACAACAATGGCAACGCCTTCGACCCACTCGACTTTGGCGCCCTGGTGATGCTTGTTACCAAAAGTTTGGTATAGGCCGAGCGCGAGAGAAATGACAGCAGCAACCGACAGAAGGATCAAGACCTTGTCCTGGAGAGCAATCCATGCGAGCTCCAAGAAAGATTTCGATTTCCTCTCGGGAAGAAGGTTCTCGCCAAACACCCTCTTCCGGTCGGCAAAGTTTCCATCAGAGTCGTTTCCAGCTGAGCCGTCCGGCTGACTTCCAGCCTCCTTTGCAATAGCATTAACATCCAGAGCGGCCTTCTTTGGGTTCGCTGTGTCGGTGCCTGCCGCTACAGCATCTTCGAAGGAAATAGGATCCGAGATTGTGGCCTCATCGAGACTGAGGCCAGCCGCTCTGTCGGTACGGAGACCCTTTTCAAGACCAGGAAGACCACCAAGGGCCGCAAATGCATCAAGACTCTTTGGGTTGAGAGTCTTGGTGAGCTGGCCTGGCGAGAAGGCGAATGGGTTATTGACAATATTGAAGAGCTGCTCCTCGCCCGGATCCGGACTCAACGGATCGATTTTTCCATTTTTAGTGGTCCCCGTAATGTTGCTGTCTCCAGCGGCCGAGGGTTTTCGTAGAGAGTCCCCTGGATCGGATCCAGGAGTCGTAGGAGTTTGTGTAGGATGCGACTTGTTGGAATCCCATGACTGTGCGCGGGATGTCCTCGTAGGAACGGCGAGAGTGTTTGTGTCTTCGAAGGTCGGTGACGTAGGAGAGTGGTCCTCTACGTCTGGGAAGGGTTCTAAGCAAGCGGTTAGTGGGTGCAATACGTGGGCTTCACTTGGCAAGCTCGTGACGGGTGTTAGATGTCTCGCGATGATGCCTGAATCGAGAAAATCTGGGGAAGCGTATTTCCGCGTCAAAGCCGGGACAGGGATTGTCGGTGCGGCAGGTGGACACTGGTAAAAGCTACCCCCATTCGCCCTTCAGAAGATTGAGGCAGTGTTGCTTGCTGACCATTGAGGCAGCTTCCACAACTCCGGTGCTCCAGGCAGTGTGAGGCATTGCTGCAGCGTGTGCAACGCCATCTCGCGGATCCTTCAAAAAGAACGTACCTTGTTCATTATTGATGGCCGAGGTATCGACCGTAATGGCAGGCGTCTGGGGCCGCCGGTGCGAAGCTGGGCGGCTGGTCGAATTGTCCATGATGGTCTGGACCGTGGTAGGCGCGTAAAAGGGTGGTTTTGGTATTATGCGGACGAGTCAGGCGAAGGAGAGCCCAGGTCGTCAAATCGAGGAAAATGAAGCCGAGCACGAAAGGTACCTCGAGGCGGACTGGAGGGTTTTGGAGAAACGTATCGTTCGTTGCCTTGGCAAAGGGTGCGAGGCAGAACTCGAGGCAGAATCGAGCAGGGCCGAATCGGCTCTCTACAGCTCGAGGGCCTTTTCGGGGCTGTCGGGCGCGAAGCGGGTTTGTGTTGATGTTAGGAGATGATCGATGAAGTGGTACGAGTGTGGCAGTGCCGGGTGTGGTGATCAATGTTGAGGGTCCTTTGCATCGCGGGCCTTTTTGGGGATGTCCTTCGTTTGAAGGCAAGCCGTGTGTTGCTTTTGCGGCGGAAGCTTGTGTTGGTGAATTGGGGCGTGTCCAAGATGCTTTCGGCGCGAATGCGAAGGTTGTGTAATTTTGTTTTTGTTGGCAGGAAGGAGGCGCACTTCAGCGTCGGGCACCTAATTGACGGTAGGCAGAGGCAAGGCTTGCGCTCGTGAAAGGCCCAAGGCGAAGGTGTAAGAGGTTGAGATTCAGAGAGAAAGCTTCCAAGAGGCAGGAAGGAGGCAGCTGGTTCTTTGCCTGCTGTAGAGTAGGTATACTAGGTGAACGTGATTTCATCGTATGAGATCAGGGAAGGGACGGTAGCGGCCGTGAGTGTGGCAGTGCTGGACCGTTTCCTTGGCAATCGTGATGCTTGGCGTCATTGGTCAAGCTCGCCTCATTTTGGAGTAACCACGTTCATCATCACTGGAGCAGGGGGGGGCAGAGGGGGCGCCATAGGCATGTGGGCTTCTGTGGGCGCCAGCAGGAGATGAGGGGGGGGATTGGACTACTCGTCGTTTCGTTGCCATGGTGCAGCCGTCATCGTTCCTGGTCGTCTCTGCTGCTTTTTCTTGTTTTTGTCCCTTACTTTCACTGGTCATGTCTCTGATCTAAAATGCATCTAGCCATCCCCGACCGAGAGAAGCATGGGGGGTCTGCGATAGAAGGGAGGGCGGTTGAGAGCAGGCACTCCTGGAACAACAACATGACCACAATGGAAGGTAGGTAGGTAGGTAGGTAAGGACGTAAGGTAGGCGAGTGTAATGTACAGTGGAGCCCACGGAATTCATTGCACATCACAGGCCAGCCTAGGTACCCAGGTCCCCAGGCGGATTAAGCTTACATGCCGCCTGAGGGGCGAAGATGCTTGGTTCAGTGCTTGGTATCCGCTGTTTGTTGGCTGCCCGCTTCCTGTCTTCTCTGGCAACTTGGGCGACCTTCCAGGAAGCGTGCCGAGATTCACATGCCCGTGGGGCGCTAGGCATTAGGGGCTTTAGGTGCCGCCCCTGGCCCTCCCTGGCCCTCCCTGGCCCCCCCGGAGGCATCCACTAATTACCATCAAATTAACGCCCTTGAACGCTCCAACGTGGGACGATACCACACAAGGCCAAGCCTCTTCTTTTTTTCCCTCCTTCGTCCTTTCGCCTAAGAAGCCCCAGTGACACTATCAGCTCTCAGCTCACCAGGGCTTGTGCATCCCCAGTCTGCTTCATCTCAGCTCTGCCCAGACAGTTCACAGCAAAAGTCAAACAGGGCGGGTCCCTCGGCAGTCGCCTTCCTCTCGTCGCGGCAACGTTGTCGATGCAGATGGACAGCAGCCATCGCCAGCGTGTCACTGCAGCCAACCACGACAACCTGGCGACACCCACAGGTCACAGGGAACAAGAGCCGGTACCACCAAACGAGAGAGCTCCTTGCCGTCTCGCAGGAAAAATTCGATGCCCAAGGACATGCCAGCAACCATGACTGTGAAGCGCATCATATTCCAGCATCCTGGTCCTCGCTAATTACGCCGGCCAACGCTGGCTCAACACGTCCAGGCTAGTAGCCACCATCTTTGTTTACCACACGATCGGACCGCCTGTGAGAGTGCCATCTGGCGGTCAACTGACTGAGTCCATACCCGCCTCACCTGTTTGCACGTGCGGTGCGGTGCGTGGGCTTGCACTACGGGAACCCAATCGCAAGCATCGTGAAATCTTGCTCTGTCAGTTGGGTTCCCAGACTTGCCAGCATGCACAGCAGAGAAACCCTGCGCCCACGCCGCGATGCTTGAATCGGCCGTGGTCGGGAAAGAAGCTTTACGGGGATGTCAGCCCCCTAGAAGCCGCGATGCTCGAGTGTGCCAATCAGCGCGCTTCTGAAGCTACGGAAATGAGGTCATCGCTGGTGTTGGGTTGCCACACCCCTGGCAATTGCTTCCACGAGCTGGGGCGATCCTCCGTCGCATGGGGAGGTTGACCACATGCGTTAATTAATTCGTGTGACGACTGAAACCAGCTTTTCTGTGCTTGCACACACCGTAGTGCTCTGAATGCAGGATGCGTACATCAATGCGCTTGTGTTTCTGCACTTTCTATTGAGGCCCAGGATTATGGTTCTGTCGTTCAGACCGCCAGCTCTCGAAATGAGGTGAATTTTACCCCTCGATGAGCTCGATCTTCTTCTTTGCTGGCCAGATTCGAGCAAGATCGAGCTCGAGTGGTAGAATTCGTTGAAGGGTTCTTCATCAAAGGCATTTCGAAGACCTGTTGTAACATCCTGCTTCGACGATGCTCATGATCAATACTTGTCAATGACCTTAGTTGACTCATCACGATTAGGAAATTCATGTCAACGAATTGCCTCTGACAACACGTCCAGGTTGACCGCTCATCCTATCAAAGGCGAAAGTAGTTGCAAGTTTGGTGGTACAAACAGCCTACACTGATGATATGCAGTACCTAGATTGTACAATGACTTGAAGCCAACGGAAGAACCTTCAATACAGCAGGCATAATCCTGCAATCTCATGGATCGATAACCTATGCTTTCAAAGATCTCAGGTCCTCTTCGCAAAAGGGATAATCAATGTAGACCTCTGCTTGAGCAGGAGTGTAGAAGGTGGAGCAGTCGTATTCATTGGCTCGATACCGTGTTGGCGCCGGTGCACTAGGTCCGGCGAGGAAAGAAGGTCCCGATCAAACACAATGAGGGCATGACGATCTTGATGCTCTTCATCGACATTACTGCGGGCCCCGACCCATCATATCCTCCAGCAACGAAAACAGAAACCCGATCTTGCCAGATGTTCAATGAAAATTACGTGCCCCCCTTTTTTCCCACAGTCGACGTTGCTGTTGACCCGCGACTCAATGAGGTGCAGTTAAAATATGTTCAGCTCCACGAAACCGCGGACAATATGCGAAAAATGATGTTCCGCCACATCGGTCCTTATCCATACTGTCGGGACCCGAACTGTGAAGAGGATATCCCTCCATCTGACCTACGCGCCCCAGAGCACATAGCTGGATGAACATGAAACAGCCCTTGCGTAGGCGGCATCGGTGATTTCCCTCCATCCCTGAATCTATGCTGCGTTCCACATGCCGGGCGCGCTCTCGCCTCGGCAATCAGTAGTGTGCCGGGAACAGCGGCTCTCTGCGTGTAGTACTGGAGCATCAAAGGGAAGCCACGTGGTCGGCATCTGCTCGGAAGCGTGTCAGCGGAGCCATGACGACGCGGTGGCTGAGTTGGACATCACCGACAGTGATAGGGCAGAAGAGTTTTGTATATGACATTGTAAGGGTGGGAGATGGCGAGTAATAAGAATATTTGAAAACGAACTTGAATGTTGAATCATGGACTATAGGTTCGATTCTTGCCGTGTTGCCAGGAAAGCTGCGGAAGATCCAAACGTGAGAGTGACATGATATACCGGAAGACTCTCGAGCGAGAGGATGCTGAAAACCACGTTGAATTCATGATTGTCAATACAAGTTTGAGCTAGAAGAGCTTCAACATCAATACTTTATTGTGAGCACGTATCTCGATTTTCTTTTCGCAAAGACAAATTCACTTCGTCTGAGCCTGAGGGTCTTAAAACGCGTGATCCCTAAGTGCCTGCTTTTACGACTCAGCAAGTTACGTGCAGGAGCCTCAGAAACACAGCTACCTAATCGCAAGTTACCTCGAGGCATCATGATCCCAATACTGTCTGAATTATGGCCTTTGGTCGTAATTCTTGAACTCTGTTTATTTACATCTCAATGAAGTCGAAGGCGGTTTGGATCGATGATTAGCTGCATGTGAAAACAATACCAGTCACCAATAGCGGCATGCGAGCGAGCACTGGCCCAACGACCAAAGGATCCTCGTGCATTGAGTCAGCAAACCAATCCGCAAGTCCAGACGCTTCCATAGCGTGCAGATCGTCGTTTCGGCGCTGTCATTTCGCCCACGCGACGATCGGTTTCTGGGGTAAGTTAAGCCAGGCGTGCGACGGTCTCAGGACGTCAAACATTGACAGACGACCGACAACTGCGTAGCAAACATGTCATACAACCGGGCCAAACTTGTCCCCTCATATTGATCTGAGCGTCTTGGCACAGACCCCCTTCTCTCTCTCTCGCTCGCTCTCTCTCTCTCCAGCTTATCACGACGACCCAGCATGCAAGCCATATAGCCTAGATAGAGCGCGGGCGTTACCTAGCTCCCCCCTCCCTTCACCAAACACACGCCCGTCCTCCAATCCCACCTCACTGACGCGCCCACCCCCATCCATTCCTCGGTCTGCTCCACCGTCCACCGTCCGCCAGAGCCAAACTCAATCAAGACAAACACCTGATCGTATTCGAGGGGCCCCGCCGCCCGTCCACACCCTCTTTGACCACCACATTCCTGCAGGCTAGGAGGAGGGTCGAGGGTCACGATGAGACCCTACCAATCATGGCTCGGACCTGCCCTCCTGTGCCACAGGCTCTCCCCCTGTAGTGATCCCGTCTTTGCAGTCGTACAAAGCCCGGCGGGCGTCCGCGACGAAGCAGAGTGATTTCTTTCCTGAAGATGCTCGTTGGGCCGCTTCATATTTCTTTTTGTTTTATTTTCGTCCTTGCACGATTTCAAGCCCGAGCCTTTCGAACCGTCGATTGCATCTGGTGCGTCCGCGTGGACATTGCATGGCCGCCGAAGGAGAAGAAAAACAAAACGTGGATTCCCTGTCCATCGCCGCTACCGTCACCTGACCGACAGAATTGCCAGCCCAGGTCCATGTCCCCTCAGCGACGGGAGGCGTTGGTGTCTTGATTCTCGGTGACGCGGATTGCCACACGGTTGGCTGGTCACCTTTTCCGCCAGACGACAACAACTTGGGTATCGCTCACTGCTCTTCGGTTCGATCAAAAGTCGCCCTCGGGCAGACAGCTTTGGCAGATCGGCCCAAATAGGCGACGAGTCGACGAAAGGTGTCCGCCAATCACCAGCAAAAAAGCAAGTCCCACAGACCGGGAGCGAAACGGAGCCAAGAGCCAAGAAGAAGGAAGAAAAAGCAGCAATCAGTGTATTCTACGATTTGTTCTACGACGTGGTTCCAAGCATGGCAATCTCGGCAACAACGACGTTCAGGTATGTCACTGTCACAAGCGCCGGCGCCAGCGCCACTGCCGACCCGACCTCTGATCCGGCCCCCTCGGGGGAGAAGCGCGCGCCGATCTGGATTTCCATCTTCATCCTCTTCGGCGCCCTGACGGGCCTCGTTCTGCTGTTTTTCTGCATGTGCGTAACTTGAGAGAGATTTCTTTTACTGAACCAATTTTTTTCTTTCCCGCCCACAGGAAATCGTGGGGCTTACGGTTTCGTAGCTGTTGGGTCGCGCGCCGGGTCATGATCCCTGGTTTCTCGCCAACGCGACCCAACTCGCCGGATGCGGAAGCGCACGCTCACGCCCACGCCCGTGACCCCGGCAACGGCCCCGCCACACCCCGGACCCCGGCACCGGCGATCCCGGCCGTGGCCTTGGAGGCCATAGCGCGCAAGGTTGCGCAGCTCGACAACTCGGCGCCCGTCATGACATACCAGGCCTGGCTCGACGGGTATGAGGGCGAAGACGAGGGCAAGTGTATGGGAGAGCTTGACGAGGAGAAGGACGACGATGCGGTCAAGGGCGTTGTCAGAGCCAGCTCCTATGTCGTTTGGTACGTCTTCCCCCCTTCCCGTCCTCTTTGTTTCCTCGGCCTTCACGACTTGCGTCCTGCTGGCCAGAAAGAAAAAGTTTCTCTCCAAAACCCCCAGTGCTGACGCGGCTTTCTCTCAGCGTGGTGTGCCTGGAAACACTCGAGAACAGCGATCTGATTCGCAACCTGCCGTGCCGCCACATTTACCACTCCGAATGCATCACGCAGTGGTTCCTCAACAAGCACGACACTTGTCCGCTGTGCAAGGCTCACTATGTGTCGCAGGACAAAGAGGATGCCGTGCTTGCGAGGCCACCGGCAGAGACTTTCCGAGTCCACAGGCCCTACGATGCCATGTATCGGCTCTATACGCAGGTGCCGATATGAAACTTTTTTTTTTTTTTTCAGTTTTTCAGGTTTGTTTGCAAACGAGCGACACAACCGGCATGCGTCATAACGGGCATGACGGAACAGGACTGTGGTCGTCAGAGAGTGTGTATATATGTGATGGGCATTATGGCACGAAGAGGGCTGTAGGAGCCCATCAGAGGTGGAGTCTGGGGTCCTCATTTTCACGGCCTTTGTTTTCCTATCTTACCTTACCTTCAGGACCCCCCTGTGGCCTGTTCGGCAGATGATACCACGGTGTGAACGCATCCTTTGATCCAATTGATATCATTCCACTTCATCTCGAGTCATTCGCGACCCCGTACCAAGGAATGAAGAACAAGAATTCCTGCCGCCGCGACTCGCGCCCCCCGATGGACAGTTCCATCAAGGTCACCACACCCTCCAAAAATGGGAATACCCTCGTCCTATCTGAGTACCATGTAACCCCATAACCCGATCTCAGCACCCACACACAGTAGAGTTCAGCGACGCTTATCCCCGATCGGACATGCTGCTGGCCCCTCGCCCCATCCGCCGAAAGCAGAGACGCAAACATAAACGCCCCTCCCCGGCGAAGCTTATTATTACTAAACAGCAGTGCTCGTCTAGGTATTCGTATTGATGATGAATCGTTCGGTCGAGCGAGCACGTCTTGGATCAATTGACGTCATCGTCCCCGCGGCGTGACGTGCGAGGAATGGCATGTTGTGTGAGGCTTGACGAAGCCGTATAAATCGTCTTCTTTCACAGTCTCTCTGAGGGGTTGCATCAATCAGCCTGGCAATCCGAACGCAACAAGCAGCTTCACCATCACCACCCTAGGCGACATCCTATTGCATTTGCCCATTCGGCATCCGGATTCGGCGACCAACAAAAAGCTTACCACACAACAAAAGATATACCACACAGCAAAAGACAAACCTCGCCTACCATGCCCCACGTCCTCATCCTCGGCGGCCACGGCAAAATCGCCCAGCACCTGACGCCCCTCCTGCTGCGGGCCTCGCACACGGTCACGAGCGTCATCCGCGCCGACGACCAGGCGCCGACCATCCGCGGCCTCGCCCCCGCCGACGGCAGGGGCACCCTCCACGTGCTGATCCGGTCGCTGGAGGACGTCACGTCCCAGGACCGCGCCCAGGCCATCCTGTCCGAGGTGAAGCCCGACGCCGTCGTCTTCAGCGCCGGCGCCGGCGGCAAGGGCGGCGCCGACCGGGTACGTTTGCCTCTCCCTTTTCTCTTCCCTTTTGGAATAAACAAAAACAAAAAAAGAAAAAAAAGAAAAAAAGTCAAGCATGCTAACGAGACAGACCCGCATCATCGACCGCGACGCAACCACGCACTTCCTGCGCGCCGCCTCGGCAACGCCCTCGGTCAAAAAGTTCATCCTCATCTCGTACCTCGCGTCGCGCCGCGCGCAGCCCGCGTGGTGGGACGCCGCGGCCTGGGCCGACGCCCAAAAAGGTCAACACGACGCTGGCCCGCCTACTACGACGCCAAGGTCACCGCCGACGAGGTCCTCTACGAGGCCGGCGGCGCGCGCCGCGACTTCGCCGCCGTCAGCCTGCGGCCCGGCACGCTGACCGAGGGGGACGTCGGCGGCGTCGAGTTGGGGCGCACGGGCGGTGCCAAGGGCGAGGTGTCGCGCAGGACGGTCGCCGAGGTGACGGCGCGGCTCGTGGACGCCGAGGGCCTCCAGACGTCGTGGGTCGACCTGCTGGATGGCCAGGAGGACATTGACGAGGCCGTGAAGCGGGTTGTCAAGGAGGGTGTGGACGTTGCTGAGGGTGAGCCTGTGTACGACAAGGTGCGCAAGGCCTGAGTGGGCGTCGCGAACTCGCAATGACCACCAGAAATTCACGATGTATGATTACAAGACAAAACATGGACATTTAACGTTTTTATTCATTCATGCGACTATCACGCCATGAGGGCAATGTGCTTCAGCTCACTCTGCACCTGGAAACCGACCTTTGTGGGCGGGTACTCGACTTCGGCGCCCTCGTCCTTGCCGAGGTTGAACTGCTGCGCGCGAACCTGCTTCGCCTTCTCGGCGAGCGCCGGCAAGGGTGCGAGGTCGTAGTCGGACGAGAGATGGTAGAACATGGTTGAGGAGATGCGGATGAGGGGGCGGTCGGGGTGCTCTTCAGTGCGGCGCTTCATGGCGGCAATGGTGGCCTCGTTGATGACGACTTCGTGGAAGCCGGCCTTGACGAGCCCGCCCGTGATGTACTCGAGCTGCTTGCCGGCCTGGACGAGCAGGTAGCTGCCCTGGGGGATCTTGACGGCCATCTTCTTGCCCGTGTTGCGCGCCCAGACGTGCAGGCCGGGGTAGCGGGAGCGGCCGTGGATTGTGAGGAAGTTGAGGTCTGTGTGAAAGCCGGCGAGGATGGTGTCGGGCTGGTCAAAGCGGCGAAGGTCGGACGAGGTCGGCGCCAGCAGGTGGGGGCCGTAGCGTGCGGCGCTCGTGAAAGCATCGGCAGGCAGCTCGAGGCCGGCGGCGGCCATGGAGGCCACGCCCTCGACAGCCTGCTTCATGGTGGCGCCCCAGTGGTTCATGGTCGGCGACCAGCGGTCACGGATGTGAGGGGCTTCAGGCACAACGTTGGCGGCGTTGAGACCGGGGAACTGTGTCTTGACCTCCGGAGGCGGGGCGTCGTTCATGCGCCAGAAGAAGCGACACTTGGGGTCGGGGCTGTGGGCGGAGATGTCGAGGGGACGCTCTTCGGGGGCGAGGCGGGCAATGACGTCGAGGCAGGGCTCGTCGACGGCGCACTTGGGCTTCTCGGTGTTCTCGAGCGTGACGCCGATCTGGTAGGAGAGCTCAGGGCGCTCATCCTTCTGGAGGTCCTCGCGGGGCTGGGCGAAGTAGTCCTCGAGGAGGTCGAGGAATGTCGTGTTGTCCTCTTCCGAAACGCGCGAGTCGTGGAGCACGAGAGCGCCGTAGGTGATGAGGGCGTTGGCAGCCTTGAGGCATTCGGCCTTGGACTCGGGGGAGTCCTGGGGGTTGTTGAGGAAGACATCGAGGTCAATGATGGGCAGGTCCATCGGGAGCTCGTCGGCAGGCATGGCTGCGATCTCTTGGTTGTGGGGGACGGGGAGAAACCGGTTTGTGATCGCAAATGGTCGCAAAGTCGCAAAGGTGAATCAACAAGTTCGTATGTACCGAGAAGAGAGGAGAGAATGTAGAGAACTGTCAATCCAGGATACAGTGAGAATGGGGAAGAGAAGAGAATAAATGCAGTATCGCCAAAAAGTAGTCTGTCGCCGCTGCTTACTTTGGTCCCATGTGATACGTTCGAGGGGTCCGCCAATTCTTGGTGGGGGAAAGAGCCCAGTGGGGTCTCGCTTTGGCGGGGGCAGGCGCAGGGGCAGGCGCATGCTGGATGAGGAAGCTGCCATGCTCGATGCATGTCGCCGCTTTACCTCTGCTTCTTCCTTTGCTAATTAATCTGCATAACTTCCAGTTGCACAACCACCCTCTGCTTACCTGCCTCACCACCTTTGGTACCTACCTAGGTACATCTTCATGATTATCATCAACCTGAACGATAGCATGAACCAGGTAGGTAAGATAGGTGTTATCTGCAGATGAGAGTTCGGCTTCTGCCATCTCTTGCACGAACCAGGCAACACGAGGCACAATGGCCGGGCATCTTCATCCCGCCAATGCTGCTAGGTACATGACTGGAACACACTCTGAGGACTCCTTAACCACGTATTCCATGGCATGATACAGTTCGCCGACCTCTGGAACGCTCCATCGCACCTCGAAGCACGCGGACAAATGCGCACGCGCCCGGCTCGCCTTCTCTAGCTCTATACGGCGTGCTTCTTTTATCCTATGACCGCGTTCAAGATGAGTCACCAGACTGTGGCTCCGATAGAAGCACCAATCCAGAAATGCCTGATTTTTAGGCAACACATCCGCCCAACTATCTAGGCTCATGATCGGTTCATCCTTGAGGGCTGCCAAATTCTTCGTCTCGGCTATGGGCCGCGAACTTCCAATCGTCACCAAGTTCTTCAGGTGCACGCACCCGCCCGGGCACTCCGGGTGTTGCTGCAGTACGTCGTCGTAGATTTCACTCGCTGAACGAGAGTGTATCATGGCGGAGTCCAATGTCACGAACAAATGACCTTCGCTCGAGTACTGCGCACGAGGGTGGTTGTGGTGATTGAATACATGCCTGACAAACTTCGCAAAATGGATGAGCCCGACATGTGATGGCGAGACTAGCATCGCCTGGCGCGCTTCACGACAGCTGAGAATGGTGTTGGTCTGACGCCAGCTTACAATTTTCCCCGCTTGCTGCTGCATGTTGTGGTTGCTCGACGCTGCCGTGTCGAATGCGCAGAACATGTACGACTCCGAGCGGGCTTGCTCCCAGATCAGCCGGCGGATCTCGAGGGGAAATCGTGGGAAGGGGTGGAAAGTGTCGTGGGTCGAGATCAACTGGTTCATATTGTTGACGAGGAGGGAACCCGTGTGTGCGGAGAGCTATAATCATCTTCAAGCGTGCTTCAATTAACTACCTAGGTAGGTCCCTATATACCTAGATAACATGTGTGACATACTTCGCTGCCTTGGCTGTTGTCAATGCAGATAGGCTGTTCTAGTGAGTTCCTGATGAAATATGTTTATAAAGAGAACAAGGAGCACGATAAATACCCACTCGGAGATACATCACAGCTTGCTCTCTATCACTTTGGAACCTGGCCACCCAAAAGACACATCTGGATATATTTCGCAACCTATCGTTAGCTCACTGTTCAGTTGCGTTCCAAAATTTGGGTCTTCACCTACCGAGTCCTTACAACGGATCCCATCATCAAGCCCACATCATCAATTCATTGCTGACGCCTCGTGTCTCACAAACCTCTCTACGAAGCTCTCCATCAAACACGAGCATGCTGTATGTCTCCAGTCAAGCCTGCACAACTCTGCATAGCCCTCCACGTGGACGTTGGTCGAAGCTCCTCCTTGAAGCGGCGACATCCTGAGCCAGACCCACATCGTGCGCCTAGAACGGCTCTCGCCGATAACCGCGGGTTGGCCACCCCAGATTCTTGTCAGGCCACCGCTCTCCGGCGGAGATCGACGGGGTGGTCTGGCCAGATGAAGGGACTTGTATGCCTGGCACCGGCGGGATAGTGTGCTGTCGGCCAAGGCGATGACCCGGGCTTTCCTGGCCAGGTCCACTCCCATTGCAACATGTTCCTTGACGCTCGAATGGGTGGTAGACTCTGTCTGCCAGGTCAGAGCGAACCTAGCTTGACAATCAGATACGGCCAACAGTGACGAACTCATGGAGCACTACTAACGATTTCTCTGTGAGCATTTACCAGTCTGCTACACGCTTACAATCAAAACTACGTGTAGGAGTTCATCCGAAGATATGCGCCTCAGATATCACGGATCGATAGATAGCTTGAGACGTAGCTTCAGACCAGTATCGCTCTTCATGAAGCCTCCTAATGATGACTGACGCAGCGAACCAACGTACTCGAGGTCCAGTTATAGACCGCCAGGGACGTTCACTACCCATGCTTGCAAAGCCTGAACCACGACACAATGTTGTGGGATCCCGAGACACGCAATATCGGCTGTCGCTCGAACAAGATCACACTGACCCAGGGACGCATCAACGTGCATGCATTTGACCGCGCAACTCCGGCGCAAACAGTTCTCTTCAGCATCCTGTTCGTCACAGCTTCTACCTCTGCTTCCGCACCTCGGACGCTTCCTTCCCCAGCTCCTCCAATGCCTTCTCATACCTCTCCATCCTCTCCCCGCCAAACCCTCCTTCTTCCGCAGCCTTCTCGACAATGACCAACCGTCCGACCTCTTCCGTTCGCCGGATGCCCTCCCACTTGGCCACGGCGCCCCAGAACCATCCGCTCTCGCGCGTCTCCACAAGCGTGAACGCCCGTCCCTGCCTGCCCGCGCGCGCCGTGCGGCCCACGCGGTGGACGTAACCCGCGGCGCTGGCCGGGAGATCATAGTTGACGACGTTGTCGAGGGCCGGCAGATCGATGCCACGAGCCACAAGGTCTGAGGCGACGAGGATGCGGAGGGTGCCGGTTGTAAACGAGGCGAGGACGCGGCGGCGGTGCGATGTCTTTTGCGTCGAGGTGAGGGTGCCGATGAGGGGCGCGAAAGAGGGCGCGAGGAGGGACAGGAGGCGAGAGAGACGGATGGCGGATTCGTTGGACTTTGTAAAGATGAGCGCCGTCTTCTTGAAGGGGGCCTTAGGCGTGTCGGAGTCCGAGTCCGAGTCCGAGTCCGAGTCTGACGAGGTGTCGGATGAACCGTCCGACGAGGTATCCGACTCGTCTTCTGATGAAGTGTCGTCGTCGTCTGTTGCTGCTGCTGCTGTCTTTGCAGGAGTTGTTTTCTTCTTCGATGTCGTGTCCGTGGGCGAGAGCAAGTGCTTGCCCTGAAGCAGGTCGAGCAGATAGAGAGGCTTGAGCCTAGTGTCGTAAACTCTTGTCGCAAACTCCTTGAGTGAGCTGGGAAGCGTGTGCTCGGCCACCTGCGTCGTGCCATCGGCCTTGCCGCCCTCGAGCACGATCAGCTGTGGCCTCCTGAGCTGCAGACTGCCGAGCAGACTGAGATCTCGGGTGAGCGTCGCACTGAGCACAACCTTGCGGACGCCTGTCAGATTCGAGTCGGGGAAGTCGCGTGCGCTGAACTTGTTGGTGCGCAGCTTAGGCATGACCACGTCCAACCACCCCTGGAAGCTTTGCGCCAGCAGCTTGTCTGCTTCATCGACTACCAGCCAGCGAACATAGTCCAGCGTGAAGCCGGGCGTATGATTGATGTGATCGACCAGCCTTCCAGGAGTGCAAATGAGTACATCGACCTTGGAGTTGTAGTCGACGACGTGGTCGGGCAAGTTGCCCATGACTGGCCTGGACGCCTGCGGCCCACCTTCAGCATCGGCATCCTCAAGTGTAGTCCAAGCCTCGCGATCCCTCTTCACAGCGTCTGCATATGCCTCGGGGTCGTAGCGTTCCGTCTGCTCTACCAGATTCGCCTGGTCGTTTTTCAGTTGATGGCTGCCAATGGAAATTCCGATGCGTACGCGCTTCTGATCACGGGCATCAAAAGCAGCGGCGCAGAGCTGAAAGACTTCCTGTGCCTGGTTGACAAGTTCTCTGGTCGGCAGCACCACAAGCGCTCGCAACCTCGTCACTTGGCCCTGGCTGATATCGCGAACAATCGGCAACGCATACGCCAAGGTCTTTCCGGAACCGGTAGCTGCCGCGACGAGAAGATCACCCTGGCGGTGCTTGCACGACGGCAAAAGTAACGGTATCGCGGCCGTCTGCACCGCAAAAGCGTCCTTGAAGCCTTTCGACTCGAGAATCTTGGCTGAACGGTCGTTGATGCCGATCTCGGGGAACGGAGTTCTGGTGTCGGCTGCAACGCGTATCGGTGCTGCAAGCCATGGCGGTAGGGTTTCATAGGACATCTTGGTCGTGTCGGCGGCCACAGGCTCCGGTTGCGGTAGGGGGTCCAGGCCGTGCATCTCGACGTCCTCCGCTTCGTCTCCGTCGACCTCCATTGCCTCAGCTCCCTCGGGCAGTGGTGCCGGGGCCCTGATCGACTTGGCCTTCTTTGCCAATACTGATGCGAATCGCGAGGGCACCTTGTCTTCTTCGTCATCGTCGTCCCCATTGTCCTCTTTGGAAGCCTTCTTCTTCTTTGGCTTGTCTCTCGCCTCCCTTTCCCTCTTCTTTTTCTCTTTCTTCTCGGTTTTCTCTACATCTTCAGACTGCTTGGACTTCTTCGGTGCAGGGCTTTCTGTGCCGTTCGTCGAGGCATCGCCATGCTTGCGCTTTGTCGCGGGAGATAGCGCATCATGCGAGTTTATTGATGGAGATTGGGCCGCCGTCGTCTTTGCTCCTTTCGTTGGGGGTACGTATCGAGCGTAGTCTGTGGAGGGCTGGCTGGTCGAGCCATGGCTGGCGGTACTCTGTTGAGGAAGTGGTGATGATGCAGAAGTTGCTCCCTTTGACGGGACGTATCGATTGTACATGTTTCCAGGCTCTCTGATCGATTGGTCGTTCGGAGCGGTCGGCCAAGCAAAATGTCGAGAGTGGTGTTTCGTCGTCGTGACTGTGTCTGGCCTCGGAGGGGCAGAAGAGACGAGCTTCCAAAAAATTTGGGCGATGATCCGGTACAGCGGCTTATCAGCGTTCTGCCGATGTCCACCGCCCCCTTATCGATCCCGCTGTAGGGGTTCTTCTTTAGCTGTCTTGATCCAATCCCTTGACCAGTTGATCTTCTGCGCATCTTGAGGTCGAGCCCAGGGACCTGCTTGACTGACGATCATGGTCGACTGAACAACTTGAGCACCACTTTCGACCAGTCGACCCCCGACAACTCATCAATCTGCCTGAAAAGGCTGGCCCACCGCGTTTCGACATCTGTCCTACGTCAGACATGCCTCAACATCCTAGGTAGCAGGACCCTCGACCGCCACGATGCCCCGCCGTCGTACGTTCAACATCGCCATGGTGTGCGACTTCTTCTTTCCGCAGCCAGGAGGAATCGAGAGCCACATCTACCAGCTTTCCTCGAAACTCATAGACCGCGGCCACAAAGTCATCGTCATCACACATGCTTACGAAGGCCGCACCGGCGTGCGCTACCTCACGAACGGCCTCAAGGTCTACCATGTGCCCTTCCTCGTCATCTTTCGCCAGGCCACTTTCCCCACCGTCTTCTCGTTCTTCCCGATCTTCCGCAATATTGTCATCCGCGAGAGGATTGAGATCGTCCACGGCCATGCCAGCTTGAGCAGCCTCTGCCACGAGGCCATCCTCCATGGCAGGACCATGGGACTGCGGACCCTCTTCACAGATCACTCACTCTTTGGGTTCGCAGATGCCACGAGCATCCTGACGAATAAGCTTCTCAAGTTTACCCTCAGCGACGTCGACCATGTCATTTGCGTCAGCCACACCTGGTATGTACATGTGTCCAAGGTTCTTGCTCGAGCTCACCTGGCTGACACCTCCCAAGCAAGGAGAACACTGTTCTGCGAGCATCCCTCGATCCGCTCATGGTCTCCGTCATCCCGAACGCCGTCGTCGCCGAGAACTTCCGCCCCAAAAACTACCCCTCCAACCCGTCAGGCGTCGCCAACTTTGCCCACAACCCGCCGCCCGCCCAGCCCCTCGGCCCCAACGACACAATCACCATCGTTGTCATCTCCCGCCTCTTCTACAACAAGGGCACCGATCTGCTGACGGCGGCCATCCCGCCCATCCTCTACAACAACCCAAACACGCGCTTCGTCATTGCCGGCTCGGGCCCCAAGGCCATCGACCTCGAGCAGATGATCGAGCAGAACGTGCTCCAGGACCGCGTCGAGATGCTCGGCCCCGTGCGCCACGAGGAGGTCCGCGACGTCATGGTGCGCGGCCACATTTACCTGCACCCGTCCCTGACCGAGGCCTTTGGCACCGTCATAGTCGAGGCCGCGTCGTGCGGCCTCTACGTCGTCTGCACCCAGGTCGGCGGCATCCCCGAGGTCCTGCCCTCGCACATGACCGTCTTTGCGCGCCCCGAGGAGGACGACCTCGTCGCCGCCACGGGCAAGGCCATCGCGGCGCTGCGCGCCAACAAGGTCCGCACCGAGCGCTTCCACGAGCAGGTCAAGAAGATGTACTCGTGGACCAACGTCGCCGAGCGCACCGAGCGCGTCTACCGCAGCCTCTACGAGGATGACGACGACGACGGCGGCGGCGCTGGCGCCGGGGAGCAGGCCGTCGACGACGACGAGTACGACGAGCACGACGGTGCCCCGTCGCCGCGCTACGGCGTCGCGCGCGCCGGCGAGAGGAGCTTCGCGCTGATTGACCGCCTCAAGCGGTACTATGGCTGCGGCATCTGGGCCGGCAAGCTGTTCTGCCTCTGCGTCATCATCGACTACCTCATCTACCTGTTTCTCGAGATGTGGTTCCCCCGCGACGACATTGACATTTGCCGCGACTGGCCGCGGAAGAGGATCCCCGAGGACGACGACGAAGACGAGAGGCGGAAACACGGCAGGTGGAACAAATAGACGCCGGACGGATAGACGGACGGCTTTCTGGCATGAGACTTGTAGACGAGCATGGCGTTCCGGGTTCAGTTGGGTTACATATGCGTCCTGCTTTCAACAAGAGAGCATGGAAGCAGCAGCATCACAGGTTTTTTTTTCCAGGTTCATCCAGCACAGAATATAAGATATACTGCTTTGACCGTGCCTCCGACTCGTCTCGGTATATACACATTCTCTAGACTTCTCGTACGGCGCGGCCTCTATTCGCAGCCGCCAGCAGAGAAGCTTCATCCCGCAAGGATGCCCGCTACTCGGAATCCCTGCCTCAGCCTTCCACCCCCTTTGTCTCCATGCTCGCCAAGATGACTACCTCGGGTCCATATCTCGACCCGCAGAGCTGTCGAGGTCCAATCCAGTCCGGAATAGCACGGGGCGAGAGGGAGAACAAAGAGGGGTGGGGTAGGCATCCATCCAGCATGCCGCAAGAAAACGCCAAACCAACTTGTCGAATGAAGAAAAAAAAAGGGAGGGCGTCAAGTGAGAGGGAGAGAGCCGTCTAAGGAGCGCGTTTCATCGGCTCATCGTCCACGGGGGAAAAATCTAGGTATCCAGGTGAAAGAACCCCCCCTTCTCTGTCCTCCTTCCTACATCACCGCAAGACAGATAGGAGGGGGCCGAAGAAGGGTCGAAGAAAGAAGCACACCAGATGGGCTGGCGTGCGGGTCTTCGCAATGGGGGGTGGGTGGGAAAAAAATGAAGAACAGTGTAGAGGGAAGGGGGTATCAGCGAAAGTCGAGCGCAGGCCAGGCCGGGGTCCGTGGCTTTGTTTTGGTTGTGGATGGTTTTGGCAGAAATGTTCAGCCTGGGGTTCTTCCGAACAGCAACAGGAACAAGTCGTTCATGCCTGGCCGTGGTCGCCGTCTTTGAGGAGAAGGAGGGAGGGTCAGCTTTCTTGGTTCTGGTTCCTCTCGATTATTTCTCGGGGCGGCGGATCGTGTCTCGAGTACAAGGAAAAAAAAGAAGGGGTGCCGTGTCTCAGAGGAGAGGATAGAGAAAGAGAGGAAGAAAGGAAACGTGTTGTGAAGCGTGAGAGGAGAGGGAGGATAGCGACTCAGTGCCGTGTGCTCTGGGAAGGGGGGCGATCGGAGAGGTCGTCCCTCCCGACGAATTCGTAATCACCTTCGCTGGCAGTGGGAGTGGGTGGCATGTTGGCCGAGGACGGGGCGGGAGGCTGATTCTGGCGCGCCGTACCTGGTCGGGAGCGGGACCCGTCTTTGGTGGCTGTCGCGGCAGCAGAGGAGGAGGTTGTGGCCGAGGTCGAGGTCGAGGTTGAGGTCGAGGGTTGTTGTTGGTGAATGGGGAGAGCGCCCCGCTGGTGGGTAGAGGAGGAGCCGCGCTTCATGCGCTCTTCCATCTCGCGAATGCGGCGCTCGAGAGCCTCGAGCTCGGCGGCTTGGGACTGGACGTTTTGCTTTCTGCGAGAAGGTTTTAGCTTGGGGAGGGGCGGTCGGGCGGTCGCCGTTTCGTCGCAGCGAATACGCCCACGGCGTTATAGGAGGGCCCAGAGCTCGGGGCTCGAAGCTCAGAGCTCACGAGTTCCTTGGGACGGTCTTACCGCTGGTCAACCTTCTCGTCCATGTCGGCGACGCTGTTCTCGATACGGAAAATGTCCATCAGCTCCTGGGAGAAGGAGCGGGCGATGGTGCTACAGGCGTTGGTCAGCTCACGTACTCCGGTAGCACGAAGGTTCGTGGCGTGGAAAGAGGGCCATGGGGACGGCGGAGCATCAAGCATCAAGGGAGCGCACTCACGACTGAGGACGACGGCCATTGGGCTGCCAGTCGCGGTCCAGCTCAGCGTCGGTCAGGTTCTGGGCCATAGCTGGAGTGTAGATGTGTTGATGTATGTATGGCCGGGCTTAGGTCGTAATAGTAGGGCGTGGCGGTGAGGATGAGCAAGGAGACGCGGTTGTAGGTTGGCAAGGTAGGTTGGTAGGTAGGTTGGTAGGTAGGGTAGATGCAGTGTGGTGGAGGGGAGGAGGGAAGACGTCAAAGGTTTTAGGGGAGCTGTGCTCTGCAGCGCTTCGGGTGTACCATGTATTGGGGTGGAGGTGGTGAGTGTGGTACCTTAAAGGTAGGGGGCACTCTAGTGATTGTCGTGGCTCGGGTCGGGTCGATAAAGGGGATTGGGGGATGTAGAGGGGGAAAAGAGACCAGGATGATCAGCACCTCAACCGTCACTTGGGAGGGGCGAGAGCAAATCAGCTGGGCCCCTGTCACGGGCCAACCGATGCACTGAGGAGATTCATGCTACCTTGACAAGGGGGGGGATGGGGAGGGCTGCCGTCTGAATGACCTGGGGGCTTGTATGAGGATGAAGGAAAGATGAACGTCAGGTCCATGCTTGGAGTATGTACCTGTATGGTTCCTCTCTCATGTGTCCAAGGCATGTTCCCCTGCCAGCTTGATCAAGCTCCCTGAGCTTGTCGAGTGCCGAATAGGGGCTCAATGCAGCTACCCAGGCAAGCAGGCAACCCAAGGTACTGTACAGCTTCGGACAGCAAGCCAAGGCGGCTAGTTTGGCCGCTAATCATGACACTGCTGCCCGTCCTAATGCGCGGGGCGTGCCTGGAATCGCTTCCCGCACCGTGCATCCCAGCTGCCCGAAGGTGGGGAAGACACCCCCCTTGCCCCCGAAGGTTCGCTGTCATCTGCAACACGGGGGGGGCAAGGGGGGCCACGGTGCACCCTGCCGAGGGACCGGACAGCATGACATGCACTGTCAGCACTGTCTGGGCCGGATCAGTACATGTAGGCCGTCTCATAGGTGCATAGGAGGTAATGCTCATGCAGATCGCTCGAAGTCCGGGAATCAGGTAGATCGGGCTTTTTCTTCGCCGTGTTCGCCTGCCATCGCTGGGATGGTTCGTGCATGAACTTGCGAGGCGCTATACACAAATGGACAATTTCCCAGGGGCCGGAGGGCCACAGAAACCATGATTCCTTCCTCGTGTCTGCGACACCTGATTGTTGCGCACCTCGAAGACACTTTTGCTTCTCGGGTGATTCTCCCACGGGACACAAGAAACACTCGATCCGCCGCGTCCACCAGGACTCGCATGACGGCATCACCCGCGAGACATCCATTTCGTGGCTGTGGCTAGGCATACTAAGGTACATGTAGCAAGGTACATGGTACCATGTACCGACCAGAGAAGAGTCATGGCATCAGCAGTACCATTGGTGATGGTGATGCCTGACTGTCAATGGCATGGCGCAGAAGAGCCACAACACCGGTGTTGTAGCGATGTAGTTCGAACACAAAGGATGTTGTGAAAAGGATAAATGGTGCAAACCACCATACTGGGCATCTACACAGCTTCATCTTAGATGGTGCCCTCTAGTAATCAAACGAAATGGTGCTGATGACTCGCTACGGGCTCCGCCATGAAGGTTGCCGCCTTACCTAAGCTCACCTCCCTCGCAGGATTTTCCGCCCGCCGTACGCTTCCATCCCTCGCCTCGTGCACTGGGCGAGCTGCCTGCCTTGCCTGCCTTTGCCTGCCTTGGCTCTAGCCTCAGCCTGGCAACAAATTTCGACCCGCCTTCCAGCTCCAAGCTCTAACCACCAACCAGCAACAACATTCATCTCCATCGCCGTCAGAAATCCCATCTCTCATCTCCTCCGTCTCACGTGACCTCGAAAGGCCGACCCCCGAAGAAAAAACATCGTCAATCATCATCTATCAATTGCGCGCCCATCCCGAATAGCTCTATCCAATACCCCCCCGCGATCCCGGAAGGCGCGCAGTTAGATGCATCAATATTTCTCCCAGAGCGCATAAGCGGCAGCCAGTACGTCTTGTCGACCACTCCGTTCCAAACCATCGTTGCCTCATCGCGTTCCTCATCCATCATGACACCTTTCTGACTTTGTCTTCGCTTCGCTCTCCACAGATCGTGGCGCCCATCCACCTCCTCTCCCAGCAGCGGCGCGGCGGACTCGCCGACTGGGGCATGAATACCGCACCATACACCCCGCTCGAGTCGCTGCTCCTGTTCCAAGCCCTCCTCGTCCACGGCGTCGAGGCCGCTGCCTTTGCCCGCGTCTCGGATCTCCTCAAGGCGAACGCTCTCATCCGGCATGACGCGTCCTACGACGCCGCACGCCTCAGCCCTGATGCCCTGCGCCAGCTCTTCCTGCACCTAGTGCGGGAGGAGCTCAGGAGTGAGGCCGCCGCCAATGCGAATGCCAGCCCGAACCCGAACACCGACGCCAACCCAGCACTGTCGCCGAACTCGAGGAAGCGAAAGGCCCAGAGTCCTCCTCTACCGTCGCTGAAGGAGGTCATCGACAACTTTGGGAAGATCCCCGTGCTGGTAGAGAAGCTTTACGCCAGGTATCGGGAGCAGACGGTCAGGGCCATCAGGGAGGATGAGCGCAGGGCCGTCGCTCTGCAGCGGGAGATTCATGCTCTGGAGCAGGCCGAACGTGAGGAAGAAAAGGCCCGGCTTGACGCGAAACGCTTGCCAGCAGCTGCGCAGGCCCAAACTGCCACACCCGTGCCGGCGCCATCACCAACACCAACGCCAACGCCCGATCTTCAACGCCCGCTCAACCACCAAGGGCCCAGTCCCGTTCCCGCATACGCTCATACGCGCCATCACAGGCCCGTCGCGATCCAGCCAGCAGTACCAAC